CCCACTGGGTTTGCTCATAGTGCCTGGTACAGAGGGTGGGACTCTTTGGCTCAAACAGCCTGTGCTACCTCTACTAGCCATTTGCATGAAGGATGAGGGCCAGGAGGCCAGCATCTGGCAGAATCCGGGCTCTCACCTGCACCTGTCCAGTCCAGATGGCCAGAAGCACTCTCAGAGCCCCGCAGTGTGATGGGTGGGAGGGACAGGGCACAGTGCCCCAGTCATCATGGCCTGACGTGACCCTGCCGGGAGCCCAGGGCAGCCAGCACCGACGAACCACACTCCAGGACACTCGGTCTGTTTTCCATGGTTTCCACACTCGTCTTGGCTAAGATGGGTCACGCGGCCTTTGCATACCTGAGAGACCCAACCCACCCTCCCCCCTGCTCAGCCACCTCACTGGTGACATTAGGGCAGCTTTGGGTACTCGAGGGGCTGAGGCTGGTACGTCCATGAGGAATTCTTGGCCCACAGAGGTGTTTCTTTTTACGGGTGTCCATGGCAGGAGCTCATGTTTTTGTTAAATCACCTATTCTTTACCACATTTCACTGGGAGTAGCCCTGATGCTTGTGGCCTCAGACCTGTGACATGAGCAGGGCAAACTCGGACACAGCCCAGGGTCCAGATTCTATGCTGAGCTCTGGGTTTTCCTGCCGGCAGGTGTGGCGGGGCACAACCCACACCTCAGTGCCACCCAGAGATACCCGCCACGTAGCACCAGTGGGGCTGCCGCGAGCCCGGAGCGCCCTGAGTACTTACAGTACCCACACCTGGTCCCGCCCTCGAAGATGAATCCGTTGGGCACGGCCCCGTAGCGCCGGAGGTCAGACAGCTTCCACTGCCCCGTGACGGCCGGGGGGATGTCCCTGGCCAAGACGAGGACGTCATTGCAGAGGTGCAGGGTGGCTGGGCCGCTCTCCAGCTTGGTGCCTGGCGCCACTGTCACGTGGAACCTGTGCACTGAGGGGCGGGTGGGAGCAAGTGGGCATCGCAGACGGCAGCTGCTGGACGACACTGAGGGGCCGGGGGGAGCAAGTGGGCATTGCAGACGGCGGCGGCTGGGGGACACTGGGGGGAAGCTGGGGGCAGCAGTGGGCCGCAGCTGGGGTGTGGGAGTGGCTGGGGGTTGGTTGGGGGTGGCAGCAGAGGTCGGCTGGGGGGCAGCTAGGGTGTTAGGGGGTGTTTGGGGTGGTGGGGGGCCGGTGTGGGGGGCAGCTGTGACACAAAAGGAGATGATGCTCCCCACAGCACCCCTGTGGATCACAGCCTAGGGGTGGTGATCTTGCCCAATGAGAGCCACAGTTATCTCCTCTCCATCCTTCTAGGAACCACCTTTGAACAGGGCCAAGCATGTCGCAGAGGGGCCTGATGCTGGCTCTGCACCCCCACCCCCGCCCCAGGTTGCTAGCGAGGACAGAGGGGAGGCCCTGCACCCTGGGTGGCCTTATAGTCCCATTTCACAGATGAGAAAAGTGAGGCTCAGGGAGGCCCAGCCTCCAGCCTGTCTGCATCACAGCCCCAGGCTGGCCATGGGGACACTCAGGAAACCCTGGGCCCTCCCTTGCCTATTCACTGTTCTCCCTGACTCCAAGACTACCTAGGGTAGCTGGGCACTGTCCAGGATCCCTGGCCCTGACACAACTTGGCCCTTTGCCCTTGAAGGCCCCTGAAAGGATGGACCATGCCCT